ATGTGGTAGGAAGTCTGTTGCTTTAAAAAGTGAATAATATTTTCAAAGAAAGTATAGTTATTGGTTTCTACTATACAAGCCAGCCTGGAGAAGGAATTGGGATTCATATATTCAATAAGAGAGTAATAATAAATGTCCATTGTGTCCTGAAATTTAATTATTGACTGCTAAGTATACTTCCTTGATTAGATCATGAGTTTTCCAAAGAGAAAAGCTGTGCTCAAATTCCGACGTAATTTCATATAAGGTGAAGAAATAGGAAGGAAAGGAGATTGCGTTTCAGCTCTATAGATTGCTTCCTGGGGTTATTAGGAAACAAGCTGTCTTCTAGGGAATAATTGACATGCAACCAAAAGAAACACATCTGGATACATGGTAGGGAAAGGATATGCTTTGCTCATTGCTGATCAGCAAGAAGGCTTTCTCATTTCTGACTTTAATGCTGACCAATAATTTTATCATTCCTGAGAAACAGCAATTAAGCTACCATTTGCTTCAATGAGTGTAGAAGGTTCTCTGGTGTCCTTTAGTTATTCTTGAAACCAGAAAGCAAAGGCAGGGGGACCTACGTCACACTTGCTCTGCAATAAAAAGGGAAAGCATAAAAATCTTTATATTTTTGGTTGTGAGCCTAGCCTTTAATGGCTGAGCCATCTCTCCAGCCCATGGATATGTAAATAGGAGTAGCAATTAAAGAATTTAAATAAAAAATATAAAACATCTTTATATTTACAACATCATCTAAACACACAGTTCCAGTTTTTAATAGAAAATGAATTTCTTCCCAATTGTCATCTATAAGGGGACACACAGATATAGCTTTCCTAAAAGACCTTTTCAGGTATCCGGTATCAGAGGTGGTTACTCAATTGTAACATAGCAACAAAGGGATTTAATAACAGTAGTTCATTTTAATCAAACTGTCTAGTAATTCAAATCAACGCTGAACTTGTTTTCCAAAAGTGAAATTTGTATTAAAATGAAAAAGTCACAAGAGAAAATAATAAATTTGCTTTTTAAAAATGAGAAAAATATAACCTTACATTTTCACAACCATGCTGCTTAATACTCTCCTACATTTTCCCCTCTCTTTATAGCTAGATCAGACTGATATTCAAGGTGACATGTGTTTGTTCTGAGTTAGAGAAACCAAGATGAGAGTCAGAATGACACCATGTTTGTGGTTATAAATAAAACCTCTTAAGCATTTGACGTAAAATTTTACTTTCACTTTGTTGGTGAAAAGTATGGTATATTATCAACAAGCTCTAGGGCATATTTTATTCCCCAAAGGATATTTGTAGGAATGGAAACTTTTGAGGTGTCCCAAGGGATAAGAGTGTGTGTGTATACAAACCCACATTCACACATGAATACAAAACAATACACAGACCAGAATCCAAGATGCTGACAGATCACTGAGCTTGTTGCTACTTTTATATTACATAAACCTCCAAAATTACTATTATAATAAAAATTTCAGTGGTAAAACCAAACTCTGGACTCCACGATCTCTTTGTCTCCCTGGACACTATCCAATTGTAAGCTTGAGTATCTTAGATGTGAATCTCTTTTAACAATCTTCAAACATTAAGAAAAGTCCAAAGAGTAGCATTTAGGAAATAGCTATGCCGAAAATAGATTGGCTTCCAGAAGTTGTACTAAATCAGTGGTTTCATTTTGGCACCCATGGCATAGAAAGAGAAAGTGAATAAAGGAACAAAGCTATGAAGATTATACTTTGTCTTGCCAAAATGCTCCTGGAACCACAAGAAAAATATGTTGGTAATGATCTCCACTCTCCATGGAGCAGCTTTCTTTTAACAAAGAACATTGTTGGTATTGGGCCAAATTAGACTCTTAGATATTCATATGTTCTTCTTCAGCCAAATTCCAGTGCACATACAAGTGCTCACTTATATCATAAGTAGATTGTATAGAAATAATCACATCATAGAAATTCACAAGAATTTGGAACAGATTTCAAATTGTTTTGAAATTGGCTGTTGATTAATATAAACTTGCTTTTTGCAAACTGTAATTGGCTTTAGTGTGTCAAAAAACCCAAAACAGTGAGATATTTCTAAGAACTTTTTGCATGGATTCTGAAGGCCTTGAACACAATCCAAAAACAACTTTGAAAGATAAATGACTGTGAACAATATTAACTATGCTATTTATATCAAATCTCAAGTTATCATAAACAATGGAAATAGCCTGGACCTTCAGAACTATTGACAGCCAAAAGAAGCATCAGAGCTTTATCAAACACACACACACACACACACACACACACACACACACACACACACAGAGAGAGAGAGAGAGAGAGAGAGAGAGAGAGAGAGAGAGAGAGAGATGAACAGGGTTTTTCCATGAATTCATTAAGAGAAAAGCAACTTTTACATAATATACACAGATGTTTTGCTACTATTCAAAATAAAAGTTCCTTCCAAGTCTTAGTGATTTTTTTCATGATTCAATTGATGGTTTCCAATATTATATGAACATCCAAACCATGGATAGATTGACCACTGTTCTTGCTTTGAAATTGTAGGAATCAGTGTCTAATGTTAAGTCTGATGCTAGGACACAGTGAATCTGAATGGAACTATATCAGCAAGATGAATCACATGACAATAAGATGCTTTCAGAAAGCCACACAGTTGACCTCTAATAGCCATTTGAAATAAGGAAGCATTTTATTTCTAGGAAATAGAGCAAAATATTACAACTTTGAGATAGAACTCAAAACTATACCTTACAGCATTGAAAAACCAGTCTTGCAAAAATCTTCCAGGTTGCCAAACTGGCCACTGAACCCTTCCAAATCAACAGACATTTCGCGTCCTGGAAAAGACAAGCTCCCATTTCCTATATGAAAGTAAATATATTATTCCAAGTTCTGTCCACAACACATTTGGTTTGCTGTCATCTAAGGTACTTGGAATGTGGTGAATCTGTATTGGGATAAAAAATTTACATTCACATGTCTAGGTACACCAATAGCACAGGAATCCTTGTTTGTTCAAAAGGGTAAAGTATTATTGTAAATAGTGTTAAAATTTCTCCAAAGAAAACTTCTGATGAATCTAATACTATTGATAAATGATTATTAGGAATAAGAAAGGAAGTGTTAGGTTTACTATGTCAAAGTATCTGCCAGGAGGACAATCATTCATCTGAAAGAAGACAGTGGCTATCTTCAAAACATTACAGGTGAAAAGATAATAGTAACATTCAACATATTGACAACCACTGAATTTATGGATTCAAAATGACAGATTGAAAAATACTCATCCCCAAAAGAAAGCAGTATTTCTAATGGCTTCCCATTTTCTAATAATCCATATCTGAAAACATTCATGACAGTATTCACTATGCACTCCAGATGG